CCTAATATTTGTTAGTGTAACACCTTTACACGTGTGCTTGCCTCCTAATTTAAAATACTGTACTGCATGTCGATGTAACAGTGGAGTGTCAAGGTCTCGAGTCAGGGCCTCCTGTGTCTGAGACCCTGATGACGGGGCATTCACGTTCGGCCAGGACTGGCCCTGACGGACTAACCCCAGGGGTAAGGAGGATTACCTTGAGCCCTTCCTGCAGTGTTCACCCAGTGCTTTTCTCTAGTCCTCCTTCTGTGTGTGTGTGTGTGTGTGTGTGTGTGTGTGTGTGTGTGTGTGTGTGTGTGTTTTAAATGGGAATCTTCTTTTAAGATGTAATTTCTAAAGTTCAACACAAAATTAAAATGCTTTATTTGTGGTGATGTATATAATAACAACAAAAGACTGGAAAAGAAGAGCACATTGAATTAAAGACTTGTAAGACAAAAGGTGATATATTAAAATGACTTTTTTATAAAGCTAGAAACAAGGAGAGAGTCATTAACAAGCAGGGGAAAGTTATTTACTGTTATTTGTAGCATATAACAAATACTCAAATACTTAACATTTAAAAAAATACTCAAAGGGGGAGTGGGGAACCAATAAAAACAGGTCCGTTAGAAACCTGTCTGAGATGGAAAACTAATACAGGCATGTGTGACTTCAGTGCATGATATGGACATTAAATAAGGCCTCATTTGTTTTAGACACTGGAGGAACTCCATGGTATTTATACAGGAGAGGTGAGCGGTCACTAGTCAAGTCCAGAACTTGTACCACCGCCTGCCCCCAAACCGCGAAAACTTGGTCTTGGTTGCCGGTGGTCCTGCGTGACAGTGGCAATCGCCTGTCCCCACGCATCCACTGTCCAGTTGGCCCCCTCCCATGCCCCAGCGGGCTTGCTTTCCTTCCTTTCTGCTGGAATTGCCCCCACCAGGGCTTATGGATTTTAAACTCTCCCAGCCCTACTAACGCTCCCTCACTTTGACCTCCTTCCCCAGGCTGCCTTTCCAATCCCTTCTCCCATCACTGCTACATCCTGGGGTGTCTGGTGAGGGAGCACACCCGCAAAGGAGCACAGAGGATCGGGCCAGGCATTACACAG